CTGAGGGTAAAGGTGATGGATTGGCCAAGCATGGGCATCCTCAAACGGAAGGTGGAGGAGCGCAAGGTCTCTTAACATCCACCAGCTCCGTGATGTCGTCATGGAGGAGTGGAAGAGGACTCCAGTGGCAACCTGTGAAGCTCTGGTGAACTCCATGCCCAAGAGGGTTAAGGCAGTGCTGGAAAATAATGGTGGGCGCACAAAATATTGACACTTTGGGCCCAATTTGGACATTTTCACTTAAGGGTGTACTCACTTTTGTGGCCAGCGGTTTAGACATTAATGGCTGTGTGTTGAATTATTTAGAGGGGACAGCAAATTTACAGTTATACAAGCTGTACACTCAATACTTTACATTGTAGCAAAGTGTAATTTTTTCAGTGTTGTCACATGAAAAGGTATAATAAAATATTTACAAAAATGTGAGGGGTGTACTCGCGTCTGTGAGATACTGTATATGCATGCATACACACCGATGAGCCATTACATAATGACCACCTATAGTATCTAATAACCCGTAGGACCTCCTTTAGCACACAAAACAGCAGCGATAGGTCTCCTGGGGTATCTGGTACCATAATGTCAACAGCAGGTCCTCCAGTTCCCATACATTGCGGGGTGGTGGTGATGTAACACGAAGCCACTTTTCGATTGGGATAATGTCAGGTGAATTTGTAGGCCTAACAGAAATTCATCATCATGTTCCTCAAGCCACTCCTTGACGGTTCTGGCAGTGTGAACTGTATCTGCAGCATCATTCGGTTGCCAGGCTCACTCGTTACTGTAGGCTGGGGTGGTCATAATGCAATGGCTCATCGGGGTGTGTATATATGTGTTTTTTAATACTTGGTTTTCATCAAATATTTATATTTCAGCTATATTTCAATTTACAAAAAAGTGTTTGGTTATCAGTAACAACACCATGTCAGATATGTTGGTTACTTAAATACATGTTTGTTTGTTTGTTTGTTTGTGTGAATAGAGGAGCCAGACATGGACTCACTATGGGTGCCAAACTGGCCCGGCTTGAGCAGCAGGAGCAGGAGTTCATGAACAAGTATGGTAAGAAGAACCACACTGCTGAAACATCCACAAGCAACACAGATTGTCTAAATTCTGAGGGACGTCCAGATATTAAAGAGAAAACAAAACGCAAGAAATCAAAAAGGCAGAGAATACCATCAGAGAATAACATCCATGAAGATAAGATGACAACACAGGTCCTTTCAAGTAATGATACTGAGGACAGCAAACCCAAAAAGAGGAAAGAGTCTAATGATGCTTCTGTGAATGACAATATGATCGCAGATACGGAGCCAAAGAAGAAGAAAAAGAGAAATCGCAAAGAAAAACAAGCACCTGAGGATTGTGTTCATGGAGACCGCAGCATAGATGTGAATGAGGCATTCACACACAAAACAGAGGAGCAAGACACACACCTGCCGACAGATGACAGCATACACAAGAAAAAAAAGAAAAAACGGTCCAAGGTGGCTGCTGAGACGGCTGACGCAGATGAGATCAGTGAGGAATCCACAGACGCACACAGCAAACAACCACTGGAGGGCAGTACTGACTATCAACAAACATCTGACAATGCCTTCAAAAAGAAAAAGAAGAAAAAGAGCTCTTCCATGGAGTACTATGAAGATGTGGATAAATCAGCTACTGCGGTGACAGTAACAGAAGACACCAGCAATGAAGCACAGATAATAGACACACAAACAGAAGGACAGGAGAACGAAAGGAAGAAAAACAAAAAAATGAAACGAAGCAAAAAGGAATAGCAGGAGGTGGTCGAAAATGTGCAGTTTGAGGAGACTGTGCCAGAAAAAAAAAGCAAAGAGTTAACTTGCATTCTACCAAACTCACTACAAACACAATAAGTAGATCAGAATCTGGGCTGCTGCTGAAATGCTAGGATCAGTTCTCCAGTAACAGACTATTAGCTGAGACACTTCAGATCACGTTTGTTATGCAGCACTCATATTTATTCTTACAAATCATGGTCAATTTTTAAAGCTTGAGACCCACAGGTGACATGAAATTTATTTATTGGACTGATTTGCGATACATTTGTGTAATGCATATTAAATAGCATATCGACAATTACAAACATGTGATGAACTGTGAACAGCTTGGAGTGATTTGTGTGGCTGAAGTATTTATTCAGTCACAATAAAGTTGGATGTTGTTTGACAGACGGGAAGAATGGTGCATAAGACATTTACCTACAGTATGTGTGTCTCTCTTGGAGCTGTAACTTGAAACATTGCTAACAAATCAAACTTCAACTGAATTTGAAAATAAAATTATTCTTGAGATGGTTGTCTTTTGTTCTGTCTTCTGCTCATGTTGAGGGGCCACTTTGGTTTTGTTGGGCTTGAAGGAAGGTTGGCCATGTTAAAACGTCCACTTCGCAGATCCATCTATTCCTCATGTAACAACTTGTTGATATCCAGCTTTTCAGTGGGTTTTTGCTGGGCACTGACAGAACGCATTCCATGTATCCTTTCGAGGGGCCATTGACCCAGAATCTGAAAGGAAAATATGGAAAGCATCAGATGCTTGCTTTGTAATTGTAATTGATTCTTTTTTTTTTCATGGTTTATCAAAAGGAAAATTATTTTCAGTTAAAGGAAATAGATATTTATACTTTTTCTTTTTATAAATGCTGCCTGTTACTACAGTAAAAAAAAATATATATATATAAAAATGAAATAGTTTAGTTAATGATTTTTTTAAAAATTGAAAGCTATTTGATTTTATATATCAAATTATTCTTCTGTTGCCATTTTTTAGACTTACCCTCCCTCAAGTTCAGCGCCAGTGGTCCAGACCCAAGTTTCTTCTTTCTTTTCAGAGAGTCCGATCCAGTACCCATGATATTCGTCATAATATGATTCGGTCTGCTGATTGATGAATTCCTGAATTTGCATAAGATGATGAGAACAGTGTTATAATCATGTGGAAATCATACAGTAAATTTACTGTTGGCAATCATATACATTTTGCACAGTGTAAACCAGATGATATCTGTTGATCACAATGTGACGTTAAAACAAGCTTTTTAAGTCACTTTTGTAACAACTTTTGCTAAATGCTGAAAGTAATTGTTTATAGTACATATTTTTGTGAACTCATCAGAAAAGATATTATTTACAGTTCTTTGGGACTAGTGGAAATACTGTAAGAACACTGACAAACTATTTTTAAGTTCATAGATTAAGTCTTTGAGTAAGAGAGAAAAATTAGAACATTCTTGTATATTTTTATACTTAATTTTATATACCTGTTCCTCCACACTGTCTATTATGGCCAGCTGAGCTCCATATCCCTCGCAGTATTCTTGACTCCCTGTCCACGTTTTCCAGGGCCAGTCTTCATTGAAATAGTAACAGCTGGAGCCATTCTGAATCCACTTTTGAGGACAAGGTGTACACTGGACCCCTGTGATGGAGAATAGCTCAGGTTAACGGGAGGAAAAACAGACTTCACTCCAGATTCAGTAAAACAGCTTACCGTTTCCAGTGGACTGACGGTACTCATCCACTAAAAAGCTGCTTTTTTTCAGTATGAAGTCCAGTGTGCCATTCATCTGATCACCCTGTGTCGTCAGCCTGGCTCTCTCTCGCTCCAGCACTTCCTTGTCTGCCAGTAGTTGCAGATTGGTGGCTTTCGCTTGAGTGTGCTGGACCTGTATAAAGTGATTTCCTATGGTTAAAACATGATTAAAGTCCTTTTTGTTTAGCAGAGAGGGAATTTTTAACTATTTAAAGGGATAGTTCAACCAAAAACAAAAACTCTGTCATCATTTACTCACCCTCAAGTTGTTCCAAACCTGTATGGATTTCTGTATGGACACAAAAGATATTTGAATAATGTGGGTAACCAAACAGTTTCTGGTTCCTATTGAATTCCTTAGTATTGTTTTCATACTATGGAAGCCAGTGAAGACCAGCTGCTAGTTGGTTACCCACATTCTTCAAAATATTTTATGTTGTATCTTCTTTTATTAAATTCATACAGGTTTGGAACAACTTGAGGGTAAATGATGACAGAATTGTCATGTTTGGGTGAACTATCCCTTTAAGTGCTGTATGTTTATCAGGTTTTGCTGTTACCAGAATATTGTTGTATTTAGACATGTGAATGTAGTCTGCAAGGCAGAGAACAAACAAACAAAAAAAGGCAAACTGTTAGTTAAATCTAAATACTTGTAGACTATTTTTTCAAATACAATGCAGTGGTTCTGTGATATTTTAGTATTTATGAGTTTAGTTAGAGTTTAGTAGGCATAGTCCTTAATTACTCATAAATAACACCATTGGCTTATATTGCACCATATCAGCTTGAAGGAAATTGTGAAATTTCTGACATAAGACAACAGGACACATGAGAAAGTTTCCAGTGTTGTCACACAGCAACATTTCCCTTTTCTTGACACATTTGTAAACTTTTATGTTGGTAAATTTTGAGGTTACATTAGGAGTACTCACTAACTTCTCTTTTTATTTGATTTATTTATTTATTTTTAGTTCTAGATCTGATTAAATATACTTAAACCAGTTAATCGTGGTGTTTTGAGTTTCCTTGCAAAGGACTAGCACACAACCAAATGTGGACATCCAAATGTAGGACTGAATGATATTTTGGTATTGTGTATATGAACGAGTGCTTATCCTCACTGAAAACGCTGACAGCTGTTAACGCAGCAAGCAGGAGGAAGCAGAGCAGCCCCAGAAACACTGTAGCTCGTCTGTATGCTGAAAAGATTGGGGTGGCAGCATCTTTTGCTGAATAAGAATAACACTAGTTTGAGTCCAATAGTGCGAGCATTGATAGTACATGGATACATTTGACAATTTGGATACATTTGTTTTGTTAGGATTAAATGATAGGTATAATTTTTTCTGTACCTTCAGTCAGAGAATCGTGTGCTGACAAAACTGATTTGTTTAATGAACGCTCTGCAGCTGCACAGGAAAGAGGAAAAGGAAAAATATAGCATGTAACTCTTAACTTATTTTAAAATTTGAAAGAAGTGATATAATCTGTATGTCAGTCAGATTTGTAAAAAAAAAAACTTTTTACTTAAATATATTAATATATATATATATATATATACAGTTGATAGATAGATTATTTTAAATATACTAACTACATAAATATAAAAATAGTTTTATAGTTATAGTCGGATTTTTTATTTTTCTGGTAAAACTGACCTCTTACCTGAGGTCTCAGGAGGTGTCTGTGAAGTTGATTGTTTTCTTTTCACCTCCGCATACAATACAGACTCCTCTAACTGTGGCACTTTAACATTAATAAGACAAACATTCATTCATTTATATTCTGATCATTCAAATAAATAAATAAATAAAAATTAAAACTACTCTAAAATATTCCAAGCAAACAGAGCAAATGTTGTGGTAACATAATGGTTAGATCTTGTGTTTCTTTTCCATCACTAAAAAAACAAAAAAAAACATACCTGTAGATTTCTGATTGTCAAATGGCTTAAAGCAGACTGTTGAATAGCACAGCTCCTCTTCCATACTTGCTCACCTTCACAATCCACAAACACTGCTGAGCAGAGAGAAAGCAGCAGTATGATTAAATCCAGTCAGTCAGATTGAACAGAGACATTTGTGGCATTCCGAATTTGGTAAGAACAGATTTTTGTCAGAAAACGGAACATGCTGCCTCATTTATAACACTGATACTTTCCCTCATATTCATATACAAGGAGGTGTCTGAAGTGTAAGCACTGTTAATTCTACAATCTACATTTAGAGAAGCTTAATAACAATAAAATAGCCAATTATTATTGAAAGAGGAAGTGATATCTTTCAAAACTGTGTTCTTCCCTGTCCTATGACATAAACTTATATGCGTTGTGGTTTGAGTTGTAAGAGGAATTTTGAAGTTTAGTCCCATTACTATGCAAATGTGAATTATTTTCACATTTAGACATTATTATAATGTCTAAACTAAATCTTAGGCTTTAAAAAAAATGCAATTTGCAAAAAGTTGTTCTAACAAAAGATAGATGGATAGATAGATAGATAGATAGATAGATAGATAGATAGATAGATAGATTTTAATTGCCTTGATACGATTTTTTTTTTATTCAATAGACTGCCAGTTACTCATTCGATGAACAAAAATATTTAAGATGTCAGTCGTTAGTTGAGTTAAATTAATTGTAGGTTGCCATATTTTTTTTACAGTCTATTAAAACATTTTTATGATAAACCTATATGTAAATGTGTAAAAAAGTCATAAATAAATAAGGCCTCTATATAATAATAAGAGTAGTTACCTCCTCACTATAGATCATTTTCATCCTGCCATTCATCCTTGGTTGTCAGGAAACTATTTTGTCTGATGTAATGTCACCATATTGCCACAAGAGAGAGCAGTAAATTAATGTGACAAAATGTAGAGAACATCAAGAATTATTCAGCCATTATCATCATGTTGTTCCAAACAGACAATCTCAGTCATCATTCTTTTTTACCGTATAGAAGAAAAGAAAATAGATGCACTGAAAGTGAATGGTGACTGAGGATGTCAGTTCCTAACATTCTGCCTAATATCTCCTGCTGCGTTCCACAGGAGAAAGAAAGTAGTACTGGTTTGTAAGTAATCCAGCAGTGGTAGAGTTAACTCTCCAAATGAGATCACTGCTTTCCCTCACATTCTGATCATCCACCCCTCCTCCTTAACTCCTTCGCCCTTCCCCTTCTCATTGTCTATGAAAGGAGGGTCTTTCTCTCCCCTGTCCATTCAGCTGCTGGGCACTGGGACTGTGGTCCAGACCTCACCGTCAAGCCTGTCATTATAATCACTTAGCAGTCACAAAGACCTCCAGCCCTTCACAGCCTCTGTGCACAGTTCCAGTGAGACTTAACATTTCCCACCACTCTGAGATGGAGCTTCTAGGTGTCCGACTACCATTCCCCCAGTTTCAGGAGGAAAAGTACCAGATGCTGGAGCTGAACCAGCGTCTCGAATCGTACTTAGGCCATGTGAAGCTTCTGGAGGAGGAAAACAGGCTACTGCGAGAGAAGATCCTTACTCTCAAGAGCAGCAGGGAACCACCAGGCCAGCACAAAGCTCAAGAGGAGGCTCTCAGCCAGGCCAGGAGGATGTTGGAGGAGGCCTGGAGGAAGAAAGATTGTGTGGAACTGGAAGTGGCAAACTTGATGGAGGATATAGAGGTGGTGAGTATTCAAAGACAGAAGGCAAAGAATGCACAGGCTGATGCACAGAGAAAACTCATGGAGAGCAGGAAGGAGCTGGAAGAGGAGCGTAGAGCTCAGATATGGCTTAGAGAAAAGGTTGGCCAGCTTGAGAAAGACCTCTTGCTACAGATGCAAGTCTACCAGGAAAACATGCAAACCTTGCAGGCCTCTCTGAAACAGACAAAGCAAGTCTTGATGGCCCCACAGCCCAATCAAACTACCAGCATCCCAGACCTGGGTCAAGAGTACAGCCACAGAGCAGCTCAAGCCTGGCAGGAGGCAACCAACAACTATCAGAGACTGGTTGGACGTCTGGAGGAAAGTCTAAACCAGGCCAAAGCTAACATGGCAAAGATTCATCAGGAGAAGAGAGAAAACCAGCATCAAGTTCAGCATCTGGCAAAGGAGCTTGAGAGCACTAAGACTAAAAGACAGATGTTGGAGGAAAATGTAATGCAGCAGAGAGAAGAACATAAACAGGAGTTTCAACATCTTCAGGTATTAATTTAAACTTATGGACAACCAATTCAATTTCTGTCATTGTTTACGTACCTTCATATCATTTCAACCTGTATGAATTACTTTCTTCTGTGAAAATAAGATATTTTGAATAATGCTTCATCTGTTTTTGTCCACACGATGGAAGTCATTGGGGTCCAAAACAACATTAGACCTTGCTTTCATTGTATGGACAAAAAGTACTGAGACATTTTTTCAAAATATCTTCTGTGTTCCACAGAAGACAGAAGGTCATACAAGTTTGGAACAGGACAAATGTATTTAACTTTGTTCCTTTAAAAATGTTTACATTTTATTTCTAATGTTGTATAATAAATAATGCAATTTTCTACATTCTCTTCACTTTAATATATATTTTTGAAGAAAATATGTCTCATATCTTTGTGCAGGCCCAAGTAGATGCTCTGGAGTTGGAGAAAGACAGCCTGGGGCAGCAGATAGACAGCCTGATGGTGGACAGACAAAATCTGCTGCAGGTCAAGATGTCTCTTGGACTGGAGGTGGCCACATACAGGTACCTGTCCTCAACATCATTACCAATACCAGCAAAATACAACCTCCCCTTATTATTATTATCTTCACACTCATCTTTACATGAAGTAAAATATGGATGTAGCTTTTGATGAGTCTTCCCACTTCCTCCCTGCTTCCAGAGTGGAGAGCCTCCTCTGCACTGTGGGATTTGTAATTTATGGAGGCCCAACTAATATGATCATGCATCGGTGGCTCTAAAAAGCATCTCAGGCACCCTGAGAGGGGTAACTTTAGATAGGTCAAACGGAATGGACCCTCTCCATTTGCTACCCGGCACTGACCCTGATCCATCTGCTTGGAGGAGGGGCAGTGAAACGGGGGTGGGGTGGAGGGTGTTATTCATTCAAATTAAGTTTTGCCCAAGCATTTTAGCTGTTGCTCATTTCTTGGTCCTCCGTATAATGAAGTTGTATTGCATTACATGCACAGATACTTAAGAAGGATGGGGAAGGGTTTTACATATGTAAAAATTATTAGAAATGTGTACATCAGTTGTATTATTATAATATGATGCCCATGTCTTTCAAAAGATTTTTAATGAAAAATTTTCTTTAGGTCTTTTAAAGTTTTTGAATACATTTATATGTAAAAAAAGAAAGATCCACATTTGTTGTAAAAAATAATTGTGTATTGTTTTTGTTAATTACAATACATGCATTTGGCAGGATACCTGTTACACTAACAGTGTGTGTACATTTGTACATTTCAAACCTTGCAAATGGTCAGTGCTGTGTGCAGGAGGTAAATTAATTGATGCCAGACTGAATCCTGCAGATGGACTGACAATGACAAATCTGACATACTATTTGCATAACAACAGAACTAATCACAGGACTGCAGCTCAAGAACCTGACTCCATCTCATTAAAGAAAGTGCTGTGATGCTGACAGCTGTTCTGTTGCTTCTTTCCAGAGCTTTGCTGGACAGCGAGGGCCTGAGAATTGACAGACCAACAACAAAAAAGACCAGCTCTGCTTTCTTTTTAGGTAACATTCTTTTTTAAAAAATAAATAAATATTTATTTTTCAATTTATTTTATTCTTATTATTATTATTATTATTGGTTTCTTATAGTGATGGCTGTTTGGACAATGGGGAAAGTGAAACAACTTTTTTTCAGAAAAGAAAAACATTGTTAAAAATATGAAATATTCATATATTTTTTATAAATATGAAAAATAATAATTATAGACTACAGTGAACAAAATTCACAGATCTCCTTTCCCTAATGCTGCTGTGCTATGGGCTGGTTAAATGATTAGTACATTGTGACATTGTGTGCTTATTGCATATTGAGGTATCTGTCTAAGCCTGTAAAACTAGCTTCCTGTGCCAGTCCCATAGGTCACTGTAGCAGATGGCTCCACTTTCCAGTAATGCAGGCCTGGAAAAGCATAAAGATGATCAATACATCTCCATTACAGCTCACTCACAGTTCACGACTAGTGTGTATTCTGATGACTCCCATGGGAGGCAGATCAAGGGTCTATGTCTGTCTATTTCATACTATCTCCATCTATCTCTTTAGCCTGGGGCTTTATTCATTCCAGTCAACCACATTTGTTCCAATAGCATCATAGTTATCAGGGCATGGGACATCAGCCACTCTGCTGTATTTTAACTGTAAATTAACTTCCTCATATTTTGTTGCATTATTAAAAGCTTACAGTGCAACCAGTGTAGTCAGAATCCTGAAACAATGACTTTGAAGATTTGGTTATTTTTAGTGAATCAAGCACATACATCATACAACTAACTGAGAGACAAATCAGTGTAGCAAGAGCTTGCTCCCTGTCTGTGTGACAAAGCCTTTCTCTCCATCTTCTTGTTTCTTGTTACAGATGTGCTCTCAAAGCCCACTGGAACCCACCCAGCCTCACAGACTACTGCTGCTTCCTGCCATGTCAGCAATACTGTTTCTACAAGTCACAGATCAATCAACTCCTCTCGCACTCTGCTGACCAGTGCGACTCCATCATGGACCTCGACTCGAGGGACTCCACAAAGAACACCAACCAAAATCTCAGTGACAGAAAAGACAGAGGTTCATATCTCAGAGGAGACTGAGAAAGCTGCTGAGGAGTCTGTGGATCATTTACAGCAAGAGAAAGTACATGAAGACATGGCCCTTAAGGAGGATGAACCAATACAGTTCAAGAAAGCTCAGATGGTTGAATGTAAAACTGATGCATCTGCATTGATAAGTGTGTCAGCTGACCAACCAAGTAACTTGTCCCAAACTTCAGAGACAGAAAGCTGGGCTGGTCCATTCACAGATCCTGCAGGGGATTCAGAAGAAGGGAAAGATGAGGACACCGAAGTGTCTTATGAAATGACTCGGATCTCACATGCACCTAAGATTGCTTGGGAAGAAAGTAAAACCGTTGCAGAGGACGAAAAAGATGACACCTCTGAGATGGATGTAAGATCGGAGAACATCAGTGAAAGCCACACATTTGCATACGGAGATGCAGAGAAGGATGATGATACATTAAAATCTAGCCATATCAGTGCAAACACCAATATAATGGGTTCATCGTTCCTCGAGCAAG